TATTTCTAAGTCATACTGTAATACAATGGATGTAAAGCGCTTAGAACGCATGCGAATAAGCGCTATATAAGTGTTAAATGTTATTTTGTGTTATTTTGTGTAGTAGCGAACTTGCTTAAGTGATGTGCAGCGAACGTGTGGCAAACTTCGACCATAGCCGACTCTGTATGTAGCGAAACTGGCATAAATTCCTTATACTGCCCTTTTCACGCTGATGAAACAGACTTCGAATAGAATGATACACTAGGTTTACTTTCCTACTCGCTCAGACAGTATCAGGTTGATGAAAAATTCGCCGAGTGGCGCAATGTTGCCTCACCGATCTAACACTTAATAATGGCGATATCTTACCGACACGACGATATGTCGCTTAGTTTAAACGAGATATTGTTAGGCGGCGGCGATATATCGCTGAGCTCAAAAGATATATCGCTGAGCTCAAACGATATATCGCTGAGTTCAAACGATATATCGTTCAGGATAAACGATATATCGCTCAGGGAAAACGATAATTCGTGAGGAGCTCAACGATATATCGGCGATATCTCACGGTTAGAACAATAGCCCGGCGGTATATTGCCGATATATCATTCCAACGGAAATATCGCTTACATATCGCCGATATCTCGCTTTTATCGCGATAAATAACGATAATCGTTTGCATTACTTTTGCATAGTACTGTATGTGGATTGTGGTTATATCAATTCGAATTAAAGTGAGACAATTTTGAGGTATAAAAGTGAAAGACAGTTGATAATTTTCTTACGAACTTGCCGAATGTCAGGAAGTTATTATTAGAAAACTTGCAGTTTTAAGAAAGCATGTATTGTTTTTAGTATGCTGTCGGTTATTAGGTAAAGGCGAAGTAATTCAGGCATGTATTTTACGTTGGCATTGAAAACTTATCTTAGTTGTCTAGTTTTGATTTGACCATCCTTCACGAAGAGTGTTTCGATATAACAAAGTGCGCCCAAGTGATAAAAAATAACACCAGCGAGATTGAATAGGTCTCCTGTCACTTCTCCTTATATTTCCTTGTACAGTTACAAGCAGTAAAAATGATCAATCGAAACTCCACTACTGACAATTTGATTTCTTTGCAGATGTTGACGAATGTAGTTCTTCCATTCCCGCCTGTGATCCGAATGCCAATTGTCAGAATACTGAAGGCTCATTTCGTTGTCAGTGTGTGCTTCGCGGTCGTCCGGTTTTGTCAATTGCCCGTATGATTACAAACCGAATTGTATTCCACACGGTCATATTACTTAATATTTTCAAAATTTAATCGATTTTGAAAATATAGCTTTAACTCTGACGGGTTCCCATACTGCTTTAACAGATGTGGATAAGTGTCAGACGGGATCTATCTCCTACAATTCGAACGCTCAGTGTGTCAATAGAATTGGTTCATATGAATGTAGATATTCGCCCGGATATTTCAGTAATGGTCACCAGTCCTGCACAGGTAAATTACTGAAGTCCTTTATAGCAAACAGGAACAGCAAAAGGTCCCAATTCTTATTTTTTTTTGCAAGCAGAATTAAATATGAAGGTCTCAAAGTTTCTTGTCTCAGAGGTATCCTATGGCCAATTAATTATATCTCTCACTCAGGAATCATTTTATTTACGTTCATTATACAGTCACTATCCGTTTAATGGGCGGTAGAGCAAACTAAGGACGCGCAGAAGTTTATCACAACGGGGAGTGGGGCACAGTGTGTGATGATCACTGGACAATTAACGAAGCCAGTGTGGTGTGTCGTTAGCGTGGCTTTTCTGGTGCATCTCGGGCTAGTTGTTGCACTGAAGACGTTCAGGGTTCTGACCCAGTCAGGATGGATGGTGTTTACTGCCAAGGGGGAGAGCCAATGTTGCCTTGTTGTTCGTTCCTTGGCTGGGGAAAACATGAATGTACATGTAGTGAGGATGCTAGTGTGGTTTGTTACTCATAGATTTGTTGCAAACAAAAAAGTGATAAGTAATTCATTTCGTAGTACTGCAATGCACCACTTTGTTGTAGCGTGCTCACATTGACAAATTGCCGCTTAACGTTTCTAGGCAGAGCCCGCAAGTGGCAAGGAAGAGTCTTTGAAATAAGTCGTTGGGCAGGAATAAAACTAATGTTGACTGTAGGCTTCACCTTGTCGTCTAGGTTAGTGCAGGGTTACTGGTCGTTTCAATTTTTTCAGTTCGTGTATTCAATCATACCTAATTTGTATAACTTTGATAACAATCAAATAGTTTCTGT